TTGCCAATAATGTAGAAGAGGTCTTTCTGAAGCTGTGCCCAGTATAATACTCCGCATCCGGCAGACCAAGAAACGTAGCTATTTCTTTTGGCATATTACCAAATTTGTTTATCCCGATTGTTTGTGCTGTACACTTCCCTTTTTGATAATTTTGGAAAAAAGGTCGTATTTGCTTTTTGGGACCGCCGATTGATATGTTTTTGCACTATTCTAAAGAAAATCTCCCTAAACAACAAAGCTTCTGGGTATCTTAATTTTGTATTCGGAATCTTGATTAGTAGCATTTTTCCATGGGCTTCAATATCTTTTAAAGTAATATTGGCTAACTCCTCTTTACGGCAAGCTCCAATAACGCCAAAAATAAGCGCAACCTACAAAAAAAAAGGGATTTGATTAATATATTTTAAATACTATATTGACTGTATTTTGCGATTTCGTAACCTGAATACTAAAGAAAAATATAAGTATTTATTAATAAATTACCTTTGGTAAATTTTAATCACTAGTTCGTTCAAAAACCTTTCCACTTCATTCGATGTTAATATTTTCGACTTTTTAGTTGTAAAACTGTCTGATTGTCGTTAACTAAATGCTTTCTTCATTTAGTTTTGGTTTAGTTGCTCAAAAAGTAGCGTATTACAGGGATGTGTAGCGTTCGGGATGTGGGCTATTATATACTCGAGCTTTTTCTTTACCTTTTCCGAACTCGTGCGTTCTCATTCCCAACTGTCAAAATAATGTCTATTAAAAAGAAAAAAAAAATCAACCACGAAGTTTTTAATAAAAAAAATAGAAGTTTTTATTATGGAGTGTAGACGTAAGGAGTACAGACTGTGTATTAAAAAGTGTCCATAGAAAACCGTTAAATAAGGGTGGCGCCACTGTAACTACGGGGTAAATTTTAAAGAACGCACAGAAAAATATTAGTGGGATAGACGACGTTGGTACTCCTTACTTCTACACTCGTAAGTTTTTATGATTCATGTAAATATTTCTAAAAAGAAGCTACTAATTTGTTTCAATATCAATATATGATTTGATTCAATGAGTTAGGTTAGGTTTCATTTCATTTCATCTCCTTAAATTTCATTTTTATTTCATATCAATAAAAAAAATCTACTGAAGATTTGGCTGTATGAGCATAACATCCCTTTGCCTACAGAATGGGTGAAGAAAACGAAAAAAATCTCTGCTTATATTTTTTTTATAGGATAGGGTGACAAACGAGCACACAGTCCACCTGATGGTAAGTGGTTGCTGTGGCCGTTGGTAGATATCTACATCTATCCTTGATTACGAATCAAAATGCAGATGTATTGTCACCCGTGAGGACTAAGATGGAATGCCTCATTTCCAGTAAAAAGGGTCTCCGGTTCTCTACACTCACCATACGAAATACAGCAGCATTAAGCTACTATTTCACGCTGGTATTCTGTGAGAGCATGGTCCTTCCCCGGTCGAGCCGACCCATTCGTGCTACAACTATACATCTAATATAAATGCAGCATGGCTCTACCACGTATTAATTGTTCTTTGCGAGTTTAGTTGTTTGTTGCACAAAATGAGTAATTTCGACGATATTTTATTTGAATTAACACCACCGGAATTCAGTATAATTGCACAAAATCCTTCGGAGAACATTTCAAAAAGTTTTTCGGAAAGTCAAAAAGTCGCCACATTTCAAAAGTCGACGAATTTATTGCTTGGAGAGAAGAGAAAAAAGCAAATAGTTTTTCAGAAAATGTTATGTTGGCATACTTCTCCGAACTCTCAACAAAATTAAAACCTTCTACGTTATGGTTGTGGTTTTCGATGAAAAAAAGTATGCTGAAAATAAGGAACAACGTGGACATAAGTGAATACCCAAAACTAAATGCTTTCTTAAAACGACAAATAGATGGTTTTACAACTAAAAAGTCGAAAATATTAACATCGAATGAAGTGAAAAGGTTTTTGAACGAAGCTCCCGATGATCGTTATTTAGCCATAAAGGTAATTATTAAATTGCTTCATTTTTCGCAACTGTATTAAAAATAGTTGTTCAGTACACTACGACGAGCCGTCATTGCAACTTGTTCCGACTGTCAACACCCACCTTCGGCTGCGCCTCGGCTCGGGTTTTTTTTCGGAACTTGTCGGAACTCTTTGCAACGACAGGCTTTCTCCACTCGTAATGAAATATACTATTCCGTGCGGGATTCAAACCTGCGACTCTTAGCTATGTTACTCATTGCTAAGTTACTGCACCACCGAGCCCTCATAACACGATATAAAGTTGTGCAAGGGATAATATGGCTAATGCCAACCTCGTCTGTACGCGGTGCGTTGCGGAATATCCATTCAAACTCGCTAAACAAAAATTTTACAGGGTTGTTATGCGGAGCAGTTTGACTAATGCTCGACTCCTTAACTTCATTAACAACATAAGCATATGGAAATATTTCAAGCACTCGTCCGCTGGCAAATTATTGGCATTCGTACGGTAAAGGTCTTAAAAATATTGTCTAGACTGATGAATATATAAACTTAGCTTTAACTATTTTTTAACATGAAACAAATATTGCTTGTTCTTAAGTAAATTATATTTGCAGACTTTTTAATAACAAATTTGGGCAGCAACAAAATGACGGATATCGACGCACATAACAACATACAAATTTATAAATTCAAAAGACATAGATTTAATTAATTTGTCTTAGTACGTCAAAGGCATGCCAAAGAAGGACAACACATAGCATGTGTTGTGGTAAAACCACAACGATGAATAGTTTTTTTATACAAACGAGCACACAGTTCGGCTAATTTACAGTGGATACTGAGGCCCACAGACATCTACACTTATCCTCAATTAATAATCAATGTGCAGATGCGTTGTCACCCCTGAGGACTAAGATTGAACGCCTCGTTTCCAGTAAAAAGGGGTTCCTGTTTCTACACTCACTATACGAAACACAGCTGCATTATTAAGCTGCTATTTCACGCTGGCATACTGTGAGAGCGTGCTCTTACCCTGATCGAGCAGATCCGTTTATGCTGCAACCATAATATAGCTACAGCGTGGCTCTACCACCTATAAAGTAAAGTGAAAGCCTATATACGTCCCACTGCTGGGCACAGGTTTCCTCTCATTTCTGAGAGGATTTTGGAAGAGGATTTTAGAAGGGAAAAGGGGAAATCGATTTGCAATTAACCTAAATATATTCACTTTACCATTATGTGATAAGTTTGGGTTAAATATAGATAGCGTTGAAGGCAAAATATTAACGGTAGAAATATAGTACTGTAAAATTTTAGGCGTTTTTATGGTTTCCTGAAAGACAATGCAATATTGATCACAAAAAAAATATTTTTTTTATAGAAGAGGGGGGCAAATCGTCCGTGAACTTCTGATACCTCCTAACTCGCATTTTTTCGCAAAACCTTTTTTAACGCCATCGTTTGACAGAGATCAGAACCAATAGAATGCATTAATCTCCTAAATAAAATACTTGTTTTTTTGGTCACAATCCATTCGGAGAAATACCTTCTAAATTTTGCCGCCCTATTTTTGCTGGAAATTTCTCCTAACTAACAGTTTGCTCGAAGCGCGTACACGGCTATTTAGTATTCTGGCGTTTGGCATTTAAAAGTATTTTTTTGGTATTTTTATCACTTCGTTGGTATTTACATTAGTGTTATGGCTAACTGAAGGTGTTTCACTGATTTTGTTTCATAAAGTAGGTACGTATATTATTATTAGCTATGATTTATTTCAGGTTAAAGTTTTTTTGTCAGATAGGAGTAATTTCTTTGAACACTTTTTACTTCAATTTGGTAAGTTATGTTTTCAATTAATGCAGTTAGAAGAAATTTCTTAAAAGTTTAGTACTTACTTTTACCTTCTTAAATATCTACGATCTTTTTGAACCTGTCTGAGGAGTACGATCATAAATTATTTGGTATTTTGTGTAGTTAAAAGATAACTTATTTATTTCAGATTTTGTCATAATGGTATCAAGAAACAGAGCACATGCACTCGTTAATATAATTTGCAATCTAAGTGAACCAGAGAATATGGCATCCACGTCTCATACACCTGTTTCTGTTTTGGTAAAGAATGTCCTAACAGAACCACATTCTTTTGAAAGGATTGAATCTCAGTTAGGGGAAATTTTACTAACTGCAGACAATGACCTCATTCAATTAGAAGACCTAGTGGCGCTTGACTCACTGTCGCTATTAGAAACACCGTCTCCGAGGCCAACTTCACCACCGCCTGTGAGAGATGCTTGTGAGGACTTTTCGAATGATGACGACAGCGATTACGAACCACCCAATGATCGTGGTGCTTTAAGTTCGGATTCAGAAAATATCCCTCCAAATGAAGAGACTCTGCAAACGAACGAAGAGGTAGTTCACTTTGGAGATATGTTTGAAGGCCGACGTAGACAGAGACTAGCTCAACCCGAAAGTTGGAAGAAAAGTATTACTAAACGGTTAAGGATGGAGGGGAAAGAGTATGTCGGTTACAAAAGACCAAAGGGTGAGAAAGTACAAAGCCAAATTCGAAACCAAAGGGTCCTTGGCCCTAAATGCAATTCAGATTTTTGTAGAAATAGTAAGTTGAGATGTTGTGATGAAGTAGGGGATGAGGACAGAGAGAAGATATTTCGACAATTCTGGAGCAATATGGACTGGCATCAACGAAAAGTGTATGTTGCTAACAACATAACTTTTCAGGAAAAAGGCAGACATCAATAAATTCGAGAAGAGTTGGTACTTTCGTTTATTTTCTTCCAGTGACTAATTCTGTAGATGGAACCACAACTAAAAAGCGTGTGTGCCGTGAAATGTTTATTCAAACTTTGTGTATTGGAACATTTTCAGTTCAAAATTGGGCAAAAAAAGGAATAAGTGGCATGCATCTATCTGAAAAAAATAATAATCGTAACCGTCGTCCTAAAGCACAATTGTCTCAAAGACTTGACATTCTCGATAACTTTTTCAATGTATTACCTAAAATGCCGTCGCATTACAACCGTTATAACACTACCAAAGTCTACTTGGAACCAATTTATCGCAACGCCACTCACTTATACAATACTTATAAACAATACTGCTCAGAAAAAAATGCAGATCCTAGAAATAAATTCAATCAAACTATCAAATCGAAGAATATAGCTATCCACACAATAAAGAAGGACATGTGTGATGTTTGTGTAGGTCATCAGACCGGTAATATAAGCGAAATTGACTACCAAACACATCTAAGAAGGAAAAATCGAGCCCGTGAAGAAAAATCTATGGATAAAAGTGAGGCGATCAAGGGAAACTGCATAGTTTTAACAATGGATTTACAATTGGTTAAAATGTGTCCGTTTATCACAGCTAGTGCTGTTTACTATAAAACAAAATTATGTGTACATAATTTTACCATCTATGATTTAGCATCTCATGAGTGTACATGTTACTGGTTTACAGAAACGGAAGGTGATCTATCAGCGTCTACCTATGCGTCATTTATTATTGATTATTTGACCCGCCATAGCCTTCCCAAACATCTACCCATAATAATATACTCAGATGGCTGCACAAGCCAGAACCGAAACAATATATTATCGAATGCTTTATTAAATTTCTCCATGCAACATCAAGTGGCTATAATACAAAAATATCTTGAAGTCGGACACACGCAGATGGAAGGAGATTGTGTACATAGCGCTATAGAAAGGAAATTGAAAAATAGGCTAATCCACTTACCAAGTGATTACCTGTCGGTTACCAAAGAAGCTCGCAAAAATCCTTGTGAGTACGAAACTGTAATGGTAGACTATACATTTTTCAAAAACTATTCGGCTCCTGAAACATGGCGCTACACTTCGATCCGACCGGGACGCAAAGCTGGAGATCCAAAAGTTACTGATATAAGGGCTATTTTTTATGACAACACAGGCCTGATTAAGTTTAAATTGGACTTTGACTCCGATTGGGATAGCCTCCCTCAAAGGGTTAATAAAATTGCCATCATAAGAGAGTACGCATCCCTGCATAGGAATAGAATACCTATCACATACCAAAAATATAAACATTTACAGGAGCTAAAGTCTGTTATCCCATTGGACTGTCATTCCTTTTACGACAGTTTACCTCATAATGAACATTAACATTCCTAATGTTACCTTAGTATTAGAAATATGATTTAACATGCTGGATAAATGATGCGAATTACTTGCTAAGATTATTTTAAGTTTTATAAAAACCTCAAAGATTTGAAATAATTTTAAGAATGTTGATTAATTTTTAAAGCAACCTTTTTCAAGACTGTTTAAGTTTAAGTTTTGTTTCTCATATTTTTATTAATGTCTGATTGTGATTTTGTAACATTTCCCTTTAGCAACATAAATAAATATTATATTTCTGTATTTCATTGTTCTTCCTTAGTTCAAAATTTAAGTTAGATGCACACTTTGGGGGTTGATTTCTCCTAAGTAACTAAAGGAAATATCTCCTATCTGACTTTGGTATTGAATTCGAAAACTTAAAACTCCTAACTAACATAAAACAAAAAAAAACAACAGCACTAACTTTATTTAATTATAATTAATAAAATGACATAAAAACCGACCAACTACTTTTTTGTTTTATAAAAAAACATCGTGAAAAGGAAATAAATCAGTTTTATGGCCCTACTGTAAAATTTGTTTGTAGGTAGATAGGAGATCTCAGAAGTTCACGGACGAAATGAGCATACGGTTCACCTGATCTTGAGTGACTACCACAGCCCATGAACAACTGCAACACCAGGGGAATTGCAGGTGCGTTGGCGGGCTTTTAGAAAGGAGTAAGCTCTTATCTTGAAGGTCCCTAGGTCGTATCGGTCCAAAAAAATCACCGGTGGTAAACTATTCCACAGAGAGGTCGTACGCTGAAGAAAACTCCTTGTGAAATGTACCGTGGTTGATCACCAAGCATCCAGATGGTATGAATGGTATCGGAAGGATTGCCGCGTAGTACGTTCATGAAATTTGGTGCCTTGGATTAATCCGAACAATTCCTTGGAGCACTCCACGTGGTAGATATGAAAGAAAATGCAAAGAGATGCAACATCTCTTCGCAGCGCCAGTGAATCGAGCCGATCGGAAAGCACTCGGTCGACGACGATTCGAGCCGCTCAGTAGATGCGGTAAGTGGAAGGAGCTGGCACTAGGGAGCACAGAATAAAGATGGGAACAGTATTCCATCTGAGGCCGAATCTGTGCTTTATAAAGGTGCCGGCATGAAATACTGTTTCGCTCTACTGAGCACACCAAGCTTTTTATAGGCCAATTTGGCCTTCCCCTCCAAGTGACCATGAAACTGCACACTATTCGATATGTCGACGCCGAGTATTCCAATACTTGCTGATAGAACAAGAGGAGTTTCTTGAAACTGAGGAGATATGACAGAGGCGTTCTTTTTAGCGGTAAACGCGCAAACTTGAGTCTTCTGAGGGTTAAACTCGACTAGATTTAGTCACGTCCAGTCCGTGACTTTGTTCAGCAAAGATTCGACTTCAGACACAAGTTTGTCCCGGTAGTCGGAAACGTTACGCCGAGAAATATTGGCACGGCCGGTGTACAGAGCATCCCCAGTGCTGTCATCCGTATGCAATGAATGTTACCGGTTTGCAACATATCATTGATATTGTAACGCTCCTCTTCCCTCTCTTCTCTTCGCTTAATAAATATATATTATATATTTGTGACCAGGTTAAATAAGATATGTTTTGATCATTCTAAAGGTTTAATAATAGACCGTTTGTAGTATTTTTGGCGTGATCGTCTTAGTTAGGGCCCTTATTTACGTTGTGTTTGTTTAGTAGCTTAGTTCTTATAGGTGTCTTTTGGAAGAATGAATATTCACTAGACTAGCAATTGAAAGCTGTTGGTAGTGCCTTATAAGCTAAGTGAACCCCGTTTACGAGCATGCATCGTCTACAACGACGTTGATGCTCTGATCTGCGGGAAAACTGGTACTCCAATTGCATAATTTCTTGGAAAGCCCATGGGAAGGTAGCTTCAAAAGAAGCGCTTTGTGCCAAACCCGATCGAAGGTCTTCGAAATGTCCAAACTAACGGCCAATGCCTCCCCCTTGGACACTACTGCCTCCGCCCATCTATGAGTCAGGTAGACCAGAAGATCACCAGCTAATCGACCCTACTGGTGCTGGAGCTGGTGATCCTCAAGGTATTGCATGAGCTGCAGTTTATAAGCGATTCCGTTATTTTGGCGAACAAGGAGGTGATGGTGATAGACCTGTAGTTTGATGGATCTGAGTGGTCGCCTTTTTTAGGGATCGGGTGGACGAGAGCCGTCTTTCATGATTTTGGGCCTTTTAGGCCTTAGGAAAGGATTATATAAAAACATAAAACCTTTAAAAAGGCACAATACTGCACTTCGCGCAGTTAATACAAGTAATAATCAAAATATTTTATAGGAACTAGAACAATTACGGTTTTTGCACGAATATTTACTTTTTTGAACTCAGAAACCTTAATGTAATAGAAAGGTTCTCTGATTTAGAAGGCTTAGTAGCTAATCAGTCATCGAATCATAATATGCTAGAAAGTATCTAAGTGTGTATGTGGTATAAAATCTGTTAATAATTTAAACGTAAACGAAAGTTTTTTCCCTGGTCATGCAAACGCCTCGGGGTCACGATCCGCCCCCCATTGTAACCCCCACAATACGCCGTACTTCACGCTAACGAGCGCTTCGAGGCGCAACAGACACATTTGTAAAAACCACAATATGCGTACCATTTCGGCATATTGTTTTGACATATAATAAATATTTGTAAGATTATACTGCGCGGAGATTGCCCGGCTGATTTTAAAATCGATCGACTGTTTTCTTTTGTTGTAGGGCTATTGTTTTGCGGAGGATGCGGTAGACGTTCGGTAAGGACCGGCACTGCCCAGTTCTAAACCGAATTACACACAGTTGCTTTCGGCAGCTACGCCAGGTGCCTTAAACTCTTATCATTTATGTTATATCTTAGGGTAATTTTAAATTGGGAGCTCAGATTAGTTTGAGGTAAGGTAGTTGTGTGTTCCTGTTTTTCTTTTTTTAATTTTATATCAGAGATAGTAAATTTAGTTTAGTGTCTTTGTAAATAAGAAACTTGGTAGCTCAGAACAAAAGCACTTGTTTAAATTCCATCGCCAACGCTAACAAAACTGTTTATTACAATTCTAACTGATACTTTACCGGTCATTGCTAGACGTGACTAGAGCGTATTTTAGGCCAAGAAAGACTCACTGAAATTGTCGCAATGAAATATATAGGGCGACCTATGATGCTTTTTTGTAGACCGATCGACTTATATTGTTATCATCAGTTATAGTTTATAGTCAGTACTATACCTGCAGAAAGAATTTTTTTTTACTATATAAAGAATTTTTTAGTGTGACGCAAACACACACAAATTAACATTGAAGCTCACCAGTGAGTGCTGTTTGTTAAATATTTTTAAAATTTTGGCAGAGCCAATTATAATGAAACTATACGAATAGATAGAGAAAATTGATAGAAAGTATCTAGGTTATATTCTAAAAAAAACTTTAAGATAATTAAAAAAAGAAATAGTGGTAAAAAAATGTTTTTTGATTAAGAAAATCACAACTTGCCAATTTACAAATTGAAATAACACCACATTAAAAGACCCCAGGTAAAACCGGGGCGGGTGTGTAGTAATTAATAAATGAATCTATAGCAGAAGTAAAATCATACTATTATTTAAATCTGTTCCTTCATTAAATCCCACTCAACTTTAGATCTATGTTTGTAGTACCAACTCGCTTATAATTTTTTAAGTTCTGTCAAATATTATTATTTTTTAAATGAATCATGACTAAAAACGCCAATGTTAAGTAGATTTAATACATTTTCAATGCAATATTTTTCACCGTGCATGTACTTGAGGATTGCGTTGCTTAAATACAAATGTAGGCCGTGCAGGAATCTGCATCATGTATTACGCTTTGCTAGATATATAATAGGGGGAGGAGTTATCCTCTCTGTATAATACAGGTTGTAACTTTAATACAATTAAAAAGTAAGTATCAGTTTATTACGATTTAATAAAATATTAATAGCATCAAATTTTTATTACTAGCCTCATAAGAACACACAAATATGCAATCACAAGTCATGTTATTATTGATTATAATATCAAGTTATTTATTTTTACAGTAATACATCATACTGTAAGAAGAGTAAATCAGTGCCTTTATTACTGCACTGCAGCCGCTAGCGGACGATGTTCCCAGCCTCACGTTCCGCAAATTGTAGGTTGCGACTCCAGTTAGCACCTCGTAGGTGTCAGGATTGCCATAATTTGCTTCAACTGACACTAGCCCGCAGCGGCTGTCATCACGTTTTGGCAACTAAATACTTTTTATTAAGGAAACGTAGTCATTTAAGTTTGTTACGAAGAGGCAATTATGTTACGCCCCCATATCAGTCCGAGAGGTGCGAAAATATCAATCAACGTCGTATAAAGTTTTAAACAGATTGATTATGACAGATATTGCTATTGCTATATGATATATATTGCTATATGAAGACGGAAGAAGAAGAGATTATTTTCTTAAAACAAGATTAACTATACAAGTTAATATTTATCCTATACCTTTAAACGAGCAATTCTTATATATATATATATATATATATATATATATATATATATATATATAAACGGAATCTCGGAAACGGCTCCAACGATTTTCATAAAATTTTGTGTGCAGGGAGTTTCGGGGGCAATAAATCGATCTAGCTAGGATTTATTTTTAGAAAATGTCTTTTTGTCCGTGTTTTTAGGCAATGAAAAACTGCTACAATATCGTTAGAATAAGAAGGTAAATTTTGACAGTTTATTAATGATTACAAATAGCTTAATTGGTATATTGGGCGGTCGCAAAATCGTAATACCATGGTTCGAGCCCAGACCGACCGGACGGACTTTTTTTAATTTTTTTTCAAGTTCCTTTCTTTTTTGAGAAAATCTATTTTTTCGAGCTATTTTTTTAGTATTTTAGGATTTTTTAAAAACACGAAAATTTGAATTAAACTAATTGCACTCATGATTTTTTATTCAAATAGTTCAGTTTTTTCTATTATGTCG